TCAAACACCGAAACATTCCTGCTTAGCAGTTTAATTGCAATTTCATAGCATTTTTTTAAATTTTAGTAAAATATACCTTTAAACAATTTAATTGTAGCGAGCTTTGGTGGTACACACAACCTTCTCAAATCTAGTTCTTTCGGAAGCCTTTCACACTAATGAGAAATACACTGACAGGATCGTCTTCCCGGATGGCCTTGCCGGTTTTCGAAACTTTAGCGCCAACATAATGAAAGAAAGAAGGTAGGCCCATTTGAAGCATTTATTTCTGCTTCTTTCCTCTCTGAAAATGGATAAAACAGAACAAATTATTTCTTTCCATCTAGTGATGGATCTGAGAAAGAACGTTTTTTTCTTTCTGTCAGCCATAACAGTGCTTTTTCAATTCCTGACGAGATTTTCGAATGATTTTAGCTCTCAGCATTCCCAAATCCAATTCTTTGCTTCTGGAGCATATCAGTGCTTGTTAATTAATTTTGGCAGCTATCGGACAGAACTGTGGGACTCATTCATCCGCGCACTTCTCATCTCACAAGGACACTTTTGACGGCTGTTTTGATTATTATTCCAAACATTGCAGCGGTTTGATTCCCACTGTGGTAGCAGTGATAAATCATATCCTCGTTCCAATCCGGAGAATGCAAATGACACGAGTTGAATATGTCTTGCTACAGGCCATTATACTGTTTGATCCCGGTTTGTTCTTATTTTTAAAGTTTTACTGACTGGATTGACAAATATCAGGGATGAGAGAAAAGGTTAGCTTTTTTTGCGCTGAGGTAGGCAGTAACTTCACTGCAGCAAGAAAAATGCAAAAAATCGGACTAAGGGTGCAAATGTTCATTAAAAGTGGGCACACAAGGAAAAGGGAAGTGGGAAGACGCAAGAGCAATATTCAGCAAGATGTGAATTAAATTATTCTGAGTTATAATTAGAATACTAATTAGAATTCTTTCGCTTTCTAAACCAGCTGCAGTTTCTAAGTCCCTCTATTCTGAGTTATAATTAGAAAACTAATTAGTAATTAGTAATTAGTATTCTAATTATAACTCAGAATAGAGGGACTTAGAAACTGCAGCTGGTTTAGAAAGCGAAAAAGGGGACTAGAAAGTTACATTTGATTTAGAATGTAAAAAAAAAAAACTCATATTTGAGCAAATGAAGCATAAAAACCATTCCAGATGCGAAAATTTGTAAAAGTGAATGCGCATAATAGTTTTTATGCTTTTCTGCGTATACGCAAATTGCAAAAACGCAAATTGGGAAGAGGCTGTCTGTATCTGTGTGTTCGCACTTTTTGCCAACCACTTTCAACTCGAGAACCAGAAAAGCTAGAAGGCTGAAACTTTGGGAGTATGTATCCATACCATGCGCGACCCTCCCGTTTAATTTTATCCCCCGCGGAAACCTGGGTGCCACGTACGGATGCTTTAAAAAATATGCAAATTTTTTGGCGGGAAAGCGATCTCGGGAACCACACGAGCTGAAGGGCTGAAACTTTGTGGAGATATTCCTTGTGCATGTGCTAGTTAAAGATTCAGCTCCCAGGTATGCGTGGTACTCACGTAAGGACGTGCGAAACTTTTAGTGGGAAAATTGCTAGCTCGGGAGACAGGGAAGCTAGAAGGCTGAAATTTTGGGGGAGCACCATAGCCCGGCGCTATGGTGCTACTTACGTAAAAGCGTATAAAAATTCCTGCGGGAAAATTACTAATTCGGCAACCAGAAAAATTGGAAGGATGAAATTTTGAGGGGATGTTCCCCGTACACGTGCAATTTAAAAATTTCAAATTCAGCTTTCCGGGCACGTGGTGTCCCCTCATACAGGCATGTGAGTGTTCTGGCGGGAAAATTGCTAACTCAGTAATCAGAAAAGCTGGAAGGCTGGAATTTTGGGGTAATGTTCCCTGTGCAGATACAAATTCAATATTTCAAATTCAGTTCCAAGCTATGTGTGGTACTCACGTAAGGGCGTATGAAAGTTTCACGAGAAAATTACTAACTCGGGAATCAGAAAAGCTAGAAAGCTGAAATCTTAGGGGAATGTTTCCTGTCCAAGTACAACGTAAATATTTCAAATTCAGCCTTGAGATATGCGTGGTTCTTACTTACGGGCACTTAAAAGTTTTGGCGGATAAATTTCCCACTGAACAGCTAGGTTACTTTTAAAGGACGACCGTTAATTGGGAATTGTACATTTACTTTATGCAAAATTTATGGTGATTTATGCTAGTGACCGCAAAAGGCAAGTGTAAAGCAATAACCATTCATGCAGTTAATGACCTGAGTACTTCAAGTCCGGTGCAAAAACAG